GCCTGATGGGCTCCCAGGCAGGTCGCTGGGAGCTGCCCCCCTGCAGCACTGCCCAGGCCTGCCTGTCACCTCCCCGGCTCCCTCCGCCCCCCTCGCTCACCCGACCCAGCCAGCAGCACCCACCTCGGGGGTGTCCTGGCCTCGATAGGCCAGCCGGTACCCTAACAGGGTGCCTTGCAAGGACGCCCTTGGCTCCTGCCAACGCACGAGGGCCTGGCTCCCATTCCGCATGGCGCTAACGTTCTCGGGGGGGCCCAGGGGCACTGGAGGACAGGGAAGAGGGGACGCTGGCACCCTCATCTCTTCCTGACCCTCACCCCTGCCCCCAGGAAGTGGAGGCAGGCTGCAAAAGCATGACAGGGCGGGCAGGCGTCCGTGAGCAGAAGCACTGGGGGAGGGAGGGCCACAGGGGCCGGCCGGCAGCGCTGGGGCGGTCGGAGGCCACAGGGGGTAAACGGGGAAAGGGGACAGTGGGGTGGCACCCAGGTGAGCACGCCCGGCCCAGCAGCGAGTAGCACCTCTCCCCCCACCCCCGGTCCCTTCTCACCTCCCTCCGGGGTCTCCACGGGAAGCCAGTGCGTCCAGGGGGAGGGGCCCTGGCTGCTGGTGCACCCCACTCGGATGTGGTAAGGCGTGTGCGGACGGAGGCTGCCCAGCCGAAGCCGGTGAGGGGGCACCGAGGCCTGCAAGGTGAGGGACTCCTCCGGGGGGTCTGGCTCTCCCGGCCGGGAGCCCGCCCTGTTGTCTGACTGCACAGCCTGGGGACAGAGGAGCGCGATGAGGGGGTGGCCGCTGCGGACAGGTGCCCGCCACACGACCCTCCGCGTGGCAGTCCCAGCCGTGGGCCACCGTGCAAGTGCGTGCGTGCGTGTTTGTGTGCACGCGGCTGCTCCACCCAGCGCAACGTGAGCACCCTCGGGGTAAGCCCAGGAGGCCACCGTCTGCGTGGCCTGACTGTCATCACTTGCAAAGGCCACCTCTGGCGAGATGGCCCCGATCTGAGCCTCAGTTTCCTCTTCTGGAAGATGGGGCCTTCGTGGAGCCAAGACCTCACGAGGCTGCTTAAAGAGGAAGAGCTGCTCTTGCTCAGCTGCTCAGGGCCAGCGGGGCAGTCACCACACCGATCCCGGCCAGGAGCAAGGCCAGGGCAGATCGGGAAGAGGAAGTCATCGCGGGAGCGGAGGGGGCTGGGCAGGGCTGCGAGGGCCCGTCGTCTGGATTTGGAGGGGATAGGTGGGGTGATATGAGTGTGAGGCAACGCAGGTGCACACGGAAGACCACGCACTCGGTGTGTCTCTTAGTCAAAAAGAAAGGGAGGGCCTCCCTGGTGGCACAGCAGGTTAAAGCACTGCACTGAGAAGCTAAAGCCACTTCAGCACGAGTTCAATCCCCGCCTGCCCCGGAGGTGACCACATGGCGTGGCAGACCTCTCCTGGCCCGCCCGCTGCTCCCCTCAGCAGTGTACTTCGTCGATCTGCCTGTTCTGCTCCCCGCTCTGTCTCTGGTGAAGCTTCTCACCACCCCTGAGCCTCTGGCCTGTACCCCGGTTCTGTATGCACAAATAAATAAATTAAAAAAAAAAAAAAGAAGAAAGGGAGGGCCTCCCTGGTGGCACAGCGGGTTGGGACGCTGCACTAAAGGCTGGCACAGCCGCTTCTGCGCCAGTTCGATCCCCGCCCCAGAGCTGACCCACAGGGCGCGGCAGACCTCTCCTGGCCCGCCCGCTGCTCCCCTCAGCAGTGGACTTCATCCATCTGCCTGTTCTGCTCCCACTCTGTCTCTGGGGAATCCTCTCAGCCTCTGCACCCCAGTTCCTTATGCATACATAAATATACGTAAAGCTTAAAAACAAAGAGCGGGGGAGAGCCCTGTACTAAGCTGAACTCCAAAGAGACTCAGCTCTTGCTTACCCCATCTGACAGATGAGAACACTGAGACTCAGAGGGCTGGCATCACCTGCCTGAGGTCACGCGCTTGGCACAGATGAAGCTGGGAACTGTGCCCTGTCCCTTGAGGACATACGTCACAGAGAGGCAGTGCTGCAGTGCTGATGAGCGCCGGCTGAAGCTGTTCTTAAGTTCTGTGCCTCAGTTGCCCCCTCTGTGAAATGGGACTGCTCCAGTGAGCTCCCTACTTCTCTGAGTTGATGGAAATGATGCTCACGAGGATTCACAAGCGTGCCTGTGCACGCTGAGTGTCATTATTTGTATGTGTGAGGTTGCCTGGCAACAGTGTCAAATAGCAGCAGAGGCCCCCCCACCTGCCTGGTCCCCAGGAATGGCACAATCAGGATGAGGGCGGACTCGCGGGAAACACATCTGTTCAGGCCTGACGCACACAGCCACAAACCACCAAGGGCATGAGCCTCACAGCCACGAGGCTCAGGGGTGTTGTCTTCATTTGGGAGGGCAGCCAGTGCCCCAGGTGCATTGCCACGCTGGGTAGGGAAGGAGTTCACTGCACAAGGGTGAGGGCTCTGAAGCCAGATTGCCTGGGTCCAAGTCCTGGCTTAGATCTTATTCGCTGTGTGACCTAGAGTGAGTGTCTTGACTTCTCCGAGTCTGTTCCTGTCTGTGCAACATGCGCACCTGACAGTGCTCGTCTGGCAGGGTGCATGGCTTAAAGGCACAATGCAGGCTGAACTGGTTTCCACAGCCTATCGGAGCTCACATTTCTTGGGCACCAACTAGGTCCTAAGCACCCTGCCCGAGAACTCACTGACTTCTTATCGACCCCCTGGAGGGCAATCTCTACTCACTGCCACTTTGCAGACTAGGGAGGAGAGGCCCAGAGAGGCCAGCAGTTTGTTCACAGTCACCGTGTCCCCGTGAGGCCTGGGGAACAGGTGGACACATGGCGGGTGCTAATGCGGGGGCGGGGAGCTGCCCTGTGCCTGCTCTCTGACCTGCAGTGACAAGTGGAAGCGGCAAAGGGAACCTCAGCTGGGTCAGAGGGCCTGGGCGCACACTGCTGCCTCCCATGCCCACTCCCACTTCTCTTTTCTCCAGAATGGTGCTGAGCCTCCACTGGAACTGTCAGCCCGGCCTGTGTGCAGCGGGAAGTGAGATGTGGAGAGGGAACAGCATCACTTCTGCTTTCCTGGGGCACTGGAGGGATGTGGGCTGGGCACGAGGAAGGCCTAACTGGCATGTGAGGTCTCCCGAACAGCCTGGCCTTTGGGATGGACTCTGTTTATCCTTTCTAGCCACTGGAGAGGGCAGCACTTCAGTTCCTTATTTTGAAAATGAGATTAACCGCCACCAGTGTCCAGGGTTGAAATGTAAAGGGAGTGAGTCTGTCTCCAGGCCCCTGGTTGCAAGACAGACAGCGCTTACTAATCTCTGCTCTCACAGGCGTCGAGGGGGGCGAGGAACATCATTTTGGTTTGACTTGAATCTGCTGGAATCTGGGTTTGAGCCCAGATGGCCTGGCTCGGCTCGACGGCCTCCCGACACAAGACTAGCTGAGCAGGGCTGGCAGCCCAGGGAACGGAGGAGAACTTGAGGGTGTGGGTAGGAGCACTGAGATTTGAGAGGACTCAAGTCTGAGGTCTCACCTGCAGCGTACAGTGGGTGAGGGGGTAGATGCCACTCAGGCCTGGGGTCCAAGCCACCTCCAACTCCGTGGGCTGACTGGCAACCAGGTGGAGGTCACGGGGTCGCTGGGGGAGCACTGTGGACAGATGAAGGAAGGGACTGACCCTCTGCCCCCGGTTCTGAAATGTGACCCAAACCCACACCCTCAGACACCTTTCCCCTGTCACCTGTGATGGTGGCTGTGCGGGAGGTCGTGACGCCTTTGGCATTATGGGCTTCGCAGGAGAAAGAAGATGTCTTGTTTAGGCCTGTGGAGTGAAACGAGGGATGAGCAGGCCCAGGGTCGGGGGAGGAAGGGCTCCAGGCTGCGGTGGGCCACCCCTACTCTGCTTGGCCTGGCAGGTACAGCCCAGCCCACAGGACACCGCAGGGAAGGAGACTGTGGATGGGGAAGGCAGTGAGCTGGGAACACAGGTCTGTGGCCCCAAATGCAAGTGCAGACACGCACACAGTCACAGGCACAGTCACACACTCGAATACCCAGAGACACACACACAGGCACACAGACATGAGACACACTCGTGTACTCGAAGACACACACAGAAACAGACTCACCGACACCGACAGACTTAACATGTGTGTTTACATGAACACACATACTCACGCACAGACACGTGCTCACACACACAAACAGACACAGGCGGCGGCGCCCCCAACAGACACACACGGACAGACCCCGTGGGTGCGAGTAAATACAGAAGTGTCAGTTCACAAGCTGGGCCCCGCAGCCCTCTCTGCTCACTGCTCCCCTGGCTCCAGCCACACTGGCCCCTGGGACTTCTGGGACACACACACACACACACACACACACACACACACACACACCAAGCACTCTGTCCCCCTGGGAACTCTGCTCTCCTCCCTCAGTGTCCACGCGCCTCCACCCCCGCCTCTACCCCCTTCGCACTGGCTCTCAGACCCCACCTTGTTCAAGATGGGCTCCTGCCCTCTGTCCTGGCCTTTCCCGCATGGCGTCAGCCAGGCCAGGACCTGGGTGTCTCGTCCACTAGGACATCAGCTCCAAGGCCCAGAGGTCTGTCCCGCTTGCCCCCTGCTGGATCCCAGGGCCTGAGACTCCTGGCACACAGTAGGTGCTCCCCAACCTCCATGTTTCCATCTGTGTACTTGGGCGTTTCCGGTGCGTGCGTGAGCATGTGTATCAGTGAGCCAGTGAGTCAGTGTTTGTGTCTTAACTGCTTTGAGTGTCTGGGGGTGGATGACGTCCTCTCTCGGGTGATGGTGGGGCCAGGACACTCAGAGGAACAGGCAAGGGACACAGCCGCAGGCTCGACACACGGGGTGCCACCCGGTGGCAGGCGGCGCTCCCCTCATCCCAAGTCCGCGGTCCCTCCGGCTCTGCCGGGCCTTGGGCCGCCGGCGCCTGTGGGCGCACTGTGAGTTTGTTCCCTGGGCGCGGGGTTCCCACCGCCCTCTGCCCACAGACAGTTTCCTTTTCTGCAGGCAGAGGGAGTCGGGTGAGGACAGTCGGCCGCCGGAAGCGGGGCAGGGGAGCGCCGACCAGGGAGTGAGGGCGGGTGGCCGGCTGTTCCCCGCCAAGGTCAGGTGCCCGCCGCGGCCCCCGC